TTATTTATATATTTTCTGATGTCTTTTTTTAGAGTAATAGGGAGAGATTTTTTGCATAGAAGGACTTGCCACGCAATTTGTCTATTCAAAGGCAAAAGAGTTGTTGTGACCTTTCAAGTTTAAGGGTTTAAATTATAGTTTTTCCACCTTTTTTTCCTCGGGATAAATTAGGTAAAATATCATTCATTAAAAGATACAAAATAATGTGAAGTTGTAAGGATGGCAATCTAAACCTATTACCGTGGTGAAAGGCCATGAGATCCAAATATTAAAAAATACATGCATTAGTTATTATGAAACTCATAGACACTTATATAGATCTAAAAGAATTAATAAAAATACAACATATGTCAAGCACTCTCAAAAAATTTATAAATACCTTACACCCCTTAAAGTACCAACTTTTCCTTGAGCACTTCTTTCTATATTATACTATGCTCTCTTTAAAAAAGCCCTAAATGTAAATTATTGTTGATTTAATCATTGAAGTATCTATTATGAGGGTCACTTTAGGGCTTTACAGGTTCATTCGACAAGACGATTCGAGCAAAGAAGGTCTTGAAGGTTTTCTGCAACTACAAAAATTTACATGAAAAAAATGGACTTAGAGAACTTAATTAGGAAAAGAAAAAGTTATTATTGAAACCCAGAAATAAACAAGGTAATTTCCCATAAAGAAAAAGAAATAAACAAAGTAATTGAAATATTGCTCACAAGAAAAAAAAAATGAGCAATGCATTTTTGTTGTTATTTTTTTGGTAAATAGCATTGCGTCTCTTCTTCGAGTGGGCATGTCTTCTGTTGTCCTAATGTCGGCAGCGACGGCTATGTTATCCTCAGGTGTTGTTTCATGGTTTCTGTTCTTAGGTAGGAAGGTATTTTCTTGGGAGTCCCTGGGTGGTTTTGGACCGAGGGAGGTACTACTGGGGTTAGAGAGTCTGCAACAACATTGGGAAAAGCTTTGTTTTTTAATTAACAATTTAAATAAATTAGTAATAATTTTTTTTAATAAAATAAAAAATTTTAAATTTGAACCATATAACATATGAGTGAAGTAAATTAAAAAATAAAAAAAAAATTATTTCTTATTATATGACTCATAAAAAAATTATTCTTTTATTGTGTAGACACTACTAGAAAACCCAACTTCACCGACCCGAAATCACCAACGTAAGAATCTTTCTCAATGAAGCAGCATCTTACCGACAAGAAACATGTCTGCAAAGTCAAAAACAATAAAAATATGAGTAATATATGTTATTTATGATTTAGACAATCTTTGTCTGTAAATTAAAACAATACACACATGTTCATTGTCGATAATATCAAGCAATATTCAATTCGGTGGCATCAGAACCAAAACCCAAATTACTGACGAAGAGGAGGCCTATAATTGCATTATCTGCAACTGGAATTTCCTCAGTGAATTTATCGACGTGATTCTTGTCGATAATTTCCCAATCCTCAACCCAACTCCGTGAATTTGGCTACTTGCGACTAGAATTGCAGCTTTTTAATCCAATTTACCAATGTGAATCTTGTTGGTAATTTCTCAATTTCCAACCCCTTGTGAATTCAGCTATTGGCACTTGGTTTTGCAGCTTTTTATCTAACTTATCGACAAGATTTCCATCAATAACTTATATTTGCCAACCAGAGCTTTTTTTATGACAATCCTGGTTAACGAGCATCCTGAAGCAATGTAGAGATGATCAGCTTTAAAT